ATTACTTTTCTTGTGTAAAAACCGCAGGCGGTCGCGCGCACAATGTGCTAGGCAAGCTCACCATACCTGTGAAATATAAAAACTTAGAACAGAACATTACATTTTTTTTATGCCCATACCTAGAGCAAAAGATTTACCTTGGGGTGGACTTCTGGCGCGCTTTCCGTTTGGCCCCAGAAGTGATATCCGTGAATGAAATTGATTTGACCAAGTTAGAACAAGAGATGGTGTCCGAAGAAGACAGGAATGAGCGGCACGTGTTGCATAGCCTTTCGGCAGACCAAAAAGAACGCTTGGAGCTGGTGGTGAGTGGTTTTAAAACTTACGAAAAGCACGGATTGGGACGTACTCAGTTGGAAAAGCACTCTATAAAGTTGGTCGATGAAGCAGTACCCATAAAAGACCGCCACTATCCATTGTCTCCGGCGATGCAAGCAATCGTGTATGCTGAAGTTGACAAGATGCTAGAATTGGGTGTGACCGAAGAAAGTGAAAGCCCGTGGAGCAATCGTACGACAATCGTCCGTAAACCCGGAAAGAATCGCTTCTGCCTGGATGCGCGTAAACTAAATGCCGTGACTGTAAAAGACGCATATCCATTACAAAACATCGAGGGCATACTCAGCCGAATAGATGACACCCATTTCATAAGCAGCGTCGACTTAAAATACGCATTTTGGCAAATTGAGCTGGAGGAGAGTTGCAAACCATATACGGCGTTTACAGTGCCGGGACGACCACTGTACCAATTCGTAACAATGCCGTTCGGATTATGCAATGCTGCGCAAAGGTTGTGTCGACTAATGGACCGTGTGATTCCACAAAAGCTCAAAACAAACGTTTTTATATACTTGGATGACTTACTGATCATTGCGCCGGACTTCGACTCGCACCTCCGGATTCTAAGCGAAGTTGCTACCTGCTTGAAAAATGCAAATTTAACAATAGGATTAAGTAAATCCAAATTCTGTTTCAAAGAGTTACCCTACCTGGGTTACATTGAAGGTGGCGGCATGTTAAAGACTGATCCTGAAAAGATTAAAGCGATACAAAACATACCTGCCCCTAAATCTATTAAACAAGTACGAAGTCTTCTTGGTACTGCCGGGTGGTACAGGCGTTTTATAAAAGATTTCGCCGCGATCGCGGCGCCGTTAACCAATACGTTGAAGAAGGGGCAGAAATTTGAAATGACCACGCAAGCCTTGGAGGCGTTTAAGTGTCTGAAAAGAGCGCTCACGAGCGCACCGGTCCTTAAACACCCAGATTTTTCGAAACGCTTTTGGGTTCAGTGTGACGCGTCCGATTATGGTGTGGGCGCTGTTCTATACCAAAAAGAAAATGACGGTGCGGAGAAGCCAATTGCGTACTTTTCACAAAAACTGAACGACTGCCAGCGCAAGTACAGCACAACGGAAAAAGAATGCCTCGCAGCTGTGATGGCTATTAAGAAATTCCGGCCGTATATAGATTTAATGCCTTTTACGGTGGTAACGGACCACGCTAGCCTGAAGTGGCTGATGTCTTTGAAAGACTTGAATGGTAGACTAGCCAGGTGGTCACTACAACTGCAAGCGTTTAATTTTGACATTGAGCACCGCAAAGGAGCGGACAACATAGTTGCCGATACGCTATCGCGATGTATCGACGAAATCGCAAGTTCCCCAATCGCTGGCATGGACACTGTAGAATTCGATTCTAAAGAATATCGGGAGCTGGTGAGGACGATCGAAGCGAACGCAGAGCGGCTGCCGGATTTAAAGGTAGAGGACGGTTTAGTGTTCAAAAAGATTTTGGCCGCGAACGTAGAACTCGAGGAGACCGAATGGAAGCTATGGATACCAGAAGCACTAACCTCTACTCTTATAGAGAACGCTCACTGCCCAGAAATCAACGCTCACGGGGGTATGGCCAAAACACTCCATCGCTTGCGGCGGTTGTATTACTGGCCAAATATGGTGGTACAGGTTCGCAGTTTTGTACGAAATTGTCAAACGTGCAAGGAAACAAAGCCCAGTAACGCGACTTTAAAACCTGGCATGGGAAACCAAGTAATTACGGTACGCCCATTCCAGAAAATATACGTGGATTTTCTTGGTAAATATCCGAGATCAAAGCGCGGAAACAGTTACATTTTTATTGTTGTAGATCATTTTTCGAAATTTATTTTTCTGAAGGCAATGCGCGACGCCACCGCCGGAAATGTAGTAAAGTTTCTCACAGAAGAGATCTTTCATAAATTTGGTGTGCCGGAAACCGTACACTCCGATAACGGGAAACAGTTTATATCGAAACAATTCACGCAATTGCTGGAAAACTATGGCGTAAAACATTTGAAGACAGCATATTACGCTCCGCAATCTAACGCAGCCGAAAGAGTGAATCAATCAGTGCTGGCCGCCATCAGATCTTATCTCGATAAAGACCACCGAGATTGGGATCTGTACTTATCAGAAATAGAATGCGCCCTTCGCAGCGCGGTACACTCGGCGACCGGGGTGTCTCCATATTTCGCATTATTCGGTGTGAATATGTTCACCAACGGCGCGAATTATGCACTCGCGAGAAAATTAAATAGCCTCGACGATAACGAATTACGCTTGCTCGACACCAGTGATAGACTCATGATAATGCGAGAGAAAATAAAGGAAAACTTGTGTGAATCGTACAAGACAAATGCGGCACGTTACAATAAAAGAATCCGTGAGGTGCGTTTTAGTCCGGGCCAAGAGGTGTATAAACGCAACTTTGTACTAAGCGATTTTAAACGAAATGTAAACGCGAAATTTAGCAGAAAGTTTACGAAGTGTCGCATAACAAAAGCGCTTGGCAATAACATGTACCTGTTGGAGTCACTCACGGGAAAGAGCCTGGGAGCATGGCATGCCAAGGATATAAAGCAATAAATCCATTGCGGTTTTTAAATGCATCTCTCCAACGATGAGGGTCAAGTCGGCGGAGAGGTAATGATCACTGAATAGGTACACCACAACTGCCCTGCAAAGTACAAACAAAGTAAAGC